TGTAGCACATCATGTCAAGTTCTTAGAATCCAGATAAATATTTCATCAGACCGAAAATGAATCACGTTCGACAGTGACAGTTGGAGGGTCAAAGAAATGCTTGCAATTTCCTTAGATGCGGGCTAGAGTTCAGTGATCAGGTTCACGATCAGGTTGAATGAGATCAGCTCTCTTTTAATTTTATATTCTTGATTATACAAAGTATCCGTTTTTAAATACCTGCATCATTTCACAATTAATGGGATGTAAATACACCTTTTTGAAATTTTCAATTGTAGGAAAATATTTACTAATGGCAATATAATTTAGTTTTATACTTGTATACCAAGGATTCAAAAGTATTTCCAAATGTGTTGTTTCACACGGTCTGTTCTAACAGTCTGTTAAGTTTTCTGGCATATCAATTCTAACAGTCTGTTAAGTTTTCTGGCATATCAATTATAACAGTCTGTTACTTTTTCTGGCATTGCAATTAAAATTGCAGCCTTACTCATCACCTCCTCTCTCTCTCTCTCTCTCTTATATGCTTTCCTTCTGTTGTATACAATTGTTTTAACCCTTTTTTCAAAACATGCAAATAGTTGCTAATGGCTCTAAAATTTAATTTAAATGTGTACATTCCTTAGCAATTTAAAAGTACTATGTATTTCTAAATATGTATGTAATAACATAAACTGTTAAACAAATTCTGTTAAGTAAATAAACCCAGCAGTCCCACTCTCTTGCTTCTTCTCTTTCCGGGATCCGGAAATAGTGTAAACTGTTATCGTTGCACTTTTTATTTTGTAACAAGCAAGTACTTCCAATTATCTTTATTACTTTACGTAGACGCTTCTAACAGTCTGCTAGGTTGCTTGGCATATAAATAAATGCTGCACTCGCATATGCTCTGCTGCTTTTCCTTTTACAGGAACCGGAAATGTTGCAAATGGTTGCCAAGTGCTAGTCAGAATTGTTCTATTCTTGTGGTTGTTGTTGTTGTTGATGCGATCATCAGCAGACTCTCACACGCTTTTGTATACAAGACATGAAATTTACCTGCCATTAAAATACCAAATACCAAAATACAAATATGGCGTAAGTTGGACGCCTGTGGCACCCACACAAACATGCATGCATGTATGCATACATAAGTGCGGACCGAAGCCGAAAATAGACAAAGTAAAAAAAAAGAAACCTTAAAGAAATCTCTCAATGATATGCCAAATTTAGTGGCACGAACACACTTGGTAGGTGACGGAGGTGTTTCTCTTTTTGGCCATGTGGGCGTGCATCTTTGGCAACTTAGGTGGGCTGCTTAGAGTGCGAGTTTGTGTGTGTGTGTGTGTGTATGCAGTCATGTAATTGGCATCTCACACAAACCGCTAGACAAGTTAGACCGGCTAAAAACGCTCAAAAGCCGCCTGCACTAAATTCACTTTGGTTTGGATTCTTTAAGGCAATGACATAATCGCCGGATCGTACGTTCGTTTGCATTTGAATTGAATTTTTTGCACAGGTCTGTCCTCCATCTAGCATGTGTGTGTGTATTCTTCGTGTTGTTGTAGTATTAGTTTCTCAACATGTGTCATTTGAGTTTCTTTACCTCTCAGCTCAAAACCAGAAAAAAGAAAACAAATATAGCTTATATTGTGCATATTTTATGATCAGTTTAATTGTTGTTGTTGTTGTTATCGTGTGTGGGCAGCTACCAACAGCGTGCGGACAAGTTTGTTCGGTCATAAAAAAATATTGTCACTATGCAGCCGCAGCAGCAGCAACAACAACAGCAACTAATTGGGCGCGTTTTCCGCGCGTTTTTCAACAAATATTGCAGCGTTTTAAGTCGCTTTCATAATTAATTGCTAATTTTTCGCATCAATATTTAACAAAAACACATACGAGTATTGCTAACGCATTATTTGTACTTAGCTTATCTATTTATTGACTTCTAAAACTATTTGACAAATTGTTAAAAACAACAAATGTAATTAGCAGTTGTTCTTTTTTTATAAATTCTCTGTCAACCTAATTGTGTGTAGTATTTAAATTGAAGATTGCAAAATAATGCTTTCTAATTTGTTTAAATATAATATATATAATTATTCTGTCATTGTTAGGTCATTAGTATTTCAAATTCAGAAATGATTGGAGATCTAAAATTGTGTTGGAAACGTGCAAATTGAAGGCGCTCCTAATAGACTTAGAGTAGAACTTGATTCTCAGAAACGAACGAAGATCTAAACGTGCAAATTGAAGACGATTTTATTCCTTAAAGAAGTAGTTTCATGGTTGATCGATCTTCTCCGGGTGCTCATAGAGTTAGAGAATAATTGATGATTTCTGTACGCGTACTAATTATCAAAATCTTAGTATTATTAAAGTAATGTAGAAGCATGGTATTTGAGTTTTTAAAAACGTCAAGCTAGACTAGTTTAAAAGGAGAACATTTTATTTAAAAATTGTATTATGTAAATTTCATTTCATCATCTCAATCGATAGTCAAAAGGAAGTGCATTCAAATATTATTGCTTTAAAGAGAAGATATTCTTTTTCAGGTTCTAATTCTCTCACAGATATAGCTTCCAGGTCTCTTAGAATTAATAGAATAAAGTAGCTTCTTCAAAGTTAAAGATGATTTGATATCCAGCTTAATGGGAACTGATTTGTAAGTTCGTCGGCCTCTTCTCTCTCAACTGGGAGATTACAGGTCCATTGATTTATTGAAATGGCAAACATAGAAGGTCGTTTAAGAGCGCTGTAACAGTTTAAATGAATAATATAAATGGATCGAGAATAATTTATTTTAATTTGTCAATGTCACTGGCAATTTTGTTCCCAAGTTTTCTTCCGACAAGCTTAATGAGTAAATATGTATTAATCTTAAATACACATTAATGCTTGACGTCATTCCCCAGACTCTCTCTCTCTCTCTCGCTATAAATATTCCAATTGATAAGCCCAGTTCTAGCTGATGATATTTGTCACCGAAGACGAGGCTTATCAAGACTCTATGTCTATCATCAGTTCCTGTAACATCAGTCACAATTTGAAGCTCATTTGGTGCAGTAACAACATATTATAATTTAACAAAATCAACTACAAAATGTGAATTGACAGCAACGACGACAGCAATAATAAACAAAAGCGTCTTTGTTTTTGTTTTGGATATTTCATTTTTATTATTTATTACAAATTTGTGCGCATGATTTCATATTTGCGCTTTCGCTGTTCACAAAAATACAATATATTGTAAAAATATATGATATATACATAGTATAATATGTATATGGAAATCAACTAACTGCGTCGCACAAAATATCTGACCAGCTCGTGTTGCTTATAAGCGCTTCATATCGGCTATATGCTAGACGCCTACGTTACGTATGAGCAATATTTCAAAAAAATTTCTTAGACAAACTGCAATTGTACAATGATGCAATTACCATCGCGATTGCTGCTGTTGTTGTTGTTGCTGATTCTGCTCACGACATCCACTACTCATTGCCTTGCCACAAACACGGAAGCTGAAGCTTCCACTGTAATGGAAGCTCCCAGTGCGGTAGCCACAACAAAAATATTCACGTAAATACTATACTGTTGCTGTTGTTGTTTACGCCGCTTCAGCGCATCGGGCCATAAATAAATACATACCTACTTGTACATACTATAAGTATTGTAGTTTAATTTTTTTTATAAGTTTGTTGTTGTTCTCATGTAAGGCGCGAGCGCGTGCCCGTGTTTTTCCTCATATTGTGTGTTCGTTGCTTTTTTTATGGCTTTCCAACGAAGTCTACAAAGCTGAGACTACTTCAGATCTACTTATATGACGCGTGTTTTATTATTTTGGGTGTTTCGAAATGGAAACATGTGTCGCCGCCTTATGGAACGTGCCTGGCATAAAATTGCATTTGAAAATTGGCTAGCCATTAATGTTCAGCTTTTTACACAGTGTTTTAAGGTGTGTTTTTGTATTTTCGTTGTTGTCCTTCGAGAGTTCATTGCTGTTTAGTGCGAACTTATCGTAAATGGCAATTAATGCGCGTTAATGAAATGTCTGTACACACTACTTATAAGTATGTATGTATGTATGTAGTTGCCAAGATAAGCAGCTAAGTTCCTGATTCGCCATTTCTGAAGTTGCGACAGAAGACTACACGCTTAAGGAATGTGTATACTATATAGTCGTTATATAGAATCTGCTGAAATCTGCTGTTTAATGTTCAAGCTAAACAGAGCAGTGTGTTTGGAAATAAACAAAAACATCAGCCAGAATTAATTTAAATTGTGGTTATGCTTCCTGTTTCTGCAAAACTAAACACAAGCAGTCAATGCCATGGATTAGAAACGTTTCTTCTAACATCATTTTCTCCTTTACTTGGATTCTTTCAAAGCTCCATTACTTTGAAATATCAAGAAAAGAACAGTGACAAATAGAACAAGATTAAGTTTCTGTCGAAAAAAGAATAGAAAGTGGAACACTTTAATTTTAAAGCACGTTTTCCCAGCAAGCAGGTCTCTCAAAAGATATGAAAAACATATTGCAGGTGATAATTTTTCGAAACTTTTTTAAATACTGTTCTTATACGATTCTGTTCATAAGGTAATTAGCTATTAGATTTCAAAATCCTATCAACATTATAATGCTTTCTCAGACTAACTTGAACTGATTGACAACATTTTATCTTACTTCGAGAATAAAAGAGAGCTAATTCTTAATTGATAGGCGCTAATAGTTCCAACCTATGTTCTTTATTGTAAGAATTTGAAATAAAAATAAAATAAATATCGCGAAAAAGTTTCAGTGCTCAATATATTTGTTCTAAAAGAAATACAAACAATAGAATACTGATAGAATATTTTCTTGACTTCAATTTTTAAAAAAAGCGATTGAGAAACATTTTCTTCAACATCTAATACGTTTATTAACCAATTAACACTTTTGGGATACACTCTTATATTGTTAGGAAAACTTAAAGTTATTTATCTAACCCCATGTATACCACATCTGATACTTACAGAGAACTCTTAGATGTATGGCGAGCCAAAGCACATTGCAATGTGGTGCCAGAAGGGCGTACACAAGAGCTCTTTCAGGAAATGAGTTTTCATCCCAGCCAGGCACAGAGTAAGTAACACCAGTCCCATTACTACTATCTATTCTCCTTACTAACTGACTTAAATTGTTGCTTCTATATGTAGTTATCGAAATGTTGCAAACGGCGAAGAAAGTTTCCCGCAAAAGCAAGGGACAGAATAATGGTCTAACAGTGGGACAATTTTTTGTATTGGCTGCGGATTTGAAGCGTTTTCGGTATGTTGTCTAAATTGTGATTATATTTCAACATTAATCGATTGTCTCCCCATGCTGTGTAGCGCTCCAACGATTTCGAATGCACTGAACTTCTGTGAATTTAATTGCACAAAAACCTCAAGCCCTCTATTACAACAAGTAGATGATGTCAGCCAAGAAGCGATTAATGAATCTAGCTCCAATATAACTACAAAACTGCAACCCGCTACAAAAAAGAGTTCAACCAACTCATCGTCCTCTTCGACATCTTCATCGCCATCGTCATCGTCTTCGTCCACCAGCAACTCAACAGCAACGTCTAAGAACACGCATTATAATATCAAAAAGCCCGAGAATTATGGCACGGAACTCCGCAGTACAAAATCTTTTAGCAGTGTCGATGACACGAAAAAGAAAAAGAATTCCATCAACGAGCCTGTCGAGGTCTTTCTCGGCGGCTCCTGCAATCCCACCACTTGGAGAGCAGATGTGGCTATTCCCGCGCTTAAAAGATATGGCATTTCATTCTATAACCCTGTAGGTATCCCAAATTACTCAGAGATGATATTTCGAAAACTTAAACTAATATTCCTGCAACTGACTTTACAGCAAGTATCCGATTGGACGCCCGATCTCATTGAACTCGAGCATCGTGCCAAGGAGAAGGCCCGTGTACTATTCTTTGTTATGGATTCGGAAACTCGCGCATCTGCTGGTGCCATCGAGGCGGCACATATAGCGGGTCAAAACTGCAAGCAGCTCGTGTTGGTCTTACATCCGTATAAACCCAATCAGAAGATACTGAATGAGCCTCTGTCGCAGCAGTAAGTCGCACAGATTTCCAAGATCGATCAATGCATATTGACTTTTGTTTCTTTTGTTCAGAGAATACCTCGATTTAAATCGAAATCAGTTGATACTTAAGGAGCTGGTCTCCCGTCGCGGCCTGCCAGTATTGGACAATATACCATCTGGTTTGCAGCGCACCAAGGAAATACTATCTGGCATTAGGGATCCACCGTCCAAAATATCTTCTATATTAAAGTAAGTAACTAAACATAATTTTCACTCAAATAGAGTATAATTCTTCGTCCGACTGAGAATAGAAAATGCTTACTACATCAGCCCATTTCTGCTTAGATCTACTATTACAAATATTAAACCATTTAAGAGCTAATAGAAATTATTTATATTATTAGACGGCACGACTTTTTCTTTGTTATAAACATGTGAATGAAAATAAGGAATCTACTCTTATATATGGATATTGTAGCATAAAAACAAAATCAAAATAATGGGAACTCTCTAAAAATTGATACTACTGTTGAATATATATCTTTTGGAAGACTTTTCCGCTCACCATGTGGCTAAATTCTTTGTTTTTATCTATTTATTTTTATTTATATATTATTTATTTTTTATTTATTATACTTATCTAATTCCATAACTTTTCCTTCTTTGCAGTACCGTACGCGGCGCTTTCGATCGCGTTAATCCCCAAAGCGAACTACTCACTGTGGAACAGTGTAAACAAGCTCTCTTATTCTTAGGCTATGCTCAGAGTTTAGTTAATATAGATAATCTAACTAAGATAATAATCAACCAACGCGAATCATTAAAACTGCTACAAACGCACAGTACAAAGGCAGGCGAGGAACAGCCAGTATGCGAGCCCGCGCCCACATTGCCAAATCATGAGCTCATCGATTTCGATCTATTCTGTGTCATCTCGGCCTATTTATCCGTTCTGCAACAGGAAATACACGAGAGTGGATGCATATCGCCCATCAAGGGAACGAATGTGCCACCGCCGCAGGTTTATTTTACAAATGGTGAGTACACCAATTGACAACTGAATGATTCACTAATGACAAGTTGATTTATTATCACCAAGAACAATCCAGAAATGAATTAATTACAGATTCTTCTGTTGTAATTAAAAATTGGTTGAATAATTGGTAAAATCCTACAAATTTTTGACGATTTTAGAGGAAGAAATTCTTGATCTTGAGAGGTTGAAAATATTAATACATTTGTAGATACGTTCCTAAAAAGCGTCTATCAAAGAACAATGTATTAATTTATGGCGTTTTTCTGCAGAAAACACAAGTTTTCCAAGAAGTCGTTGAAGACAATTCGAACTCCAAAGGGGGAAAAAGGGCTCTAAAAACGTTTCACGAAAGTAGTCCCACAACAAAATGTTTCTAATTTCTTTTCGGACTTTGTTATTCAACACAGACGAATGTATAAACCATGATCACTTCTTTGATATGTATTTGGCGATTCGAATATTAGTTTTAGCGAAGATATTTCTAATTATTTGAAAACAGCTTTTATCCTAGAGTTGAAGATTCTTTAAAAGATTTTAAATGAATAAAATATTATTGTATTTTTCAAACCTTTAGTACCAATATAATGTAATACTTGTCTATTTTCAGCTCCCGATGTGGACATCTACTACTCGGCCAGTAAAAACATTTCGCGAACTTCGAGCAATGCAAGCGTGCCATCCAACAGCAGCAGCGGCATCGGACACGATCTGGAACGTCAAAATATCTTGGAGCAGCTGAGTCGCAGTCGGGATAGTGGCACCTCTTCGCCACAGCCACAATTGGAGCCGCTGAACAAACGCTTGGCCACCAATTCAACGGCGCTAAGTAAAAAGCAACAGCCACAAATATTGTTAAATGTCGAATCGATAGAGACAACCGAAATAATCACGACGAAGACTATAGAAACAAATGTGGCAGGAAGTGGCTCAGCTGCGACAGCTACTGGAACAGGGATAGGGACCTCGACAGCCAATATTGGCGAGGAGGAGGAAAGCGACAGCAATGATTCGGTCTTCTCCAGCAGCAGTTCGATAGCTAGTGCCGGCGATATTCTTTCCTGCATCAGCAATGGCTGGGACATGCGCGATGTCTACTTGGGTGGCAGCTGTGTTATGCGCACCAAGTGGCGCCAAAAGTTCGCCGGTCCGTTTTTGCAAGCCAAGGGCATCTCCTTCCATATACCCGCACTCCACGAGAGCATACAGCAGGCCTACACCCAGGCCCAGACACAGGCGCAAGAGTCGTCCAACTCGGACAATTTGCAGGAGCAACAGCAGCAACGTTCCTATACGCGCACGCGTCGCAAGTGTCGGGGCAATCAACTGCAGCTGGAGGAGGAGGAGGAGCTGACGGTCACTGAGGATTCGCTCAGCTGGTCACTGCCATCGGTTGCTGTGCGTCAGAGTCTATATAATCCAGCCTTGCTCGACTCCAGTCGCGTACTGCTCTTCGTCATCACCAATGAGACCCGATCGTTGGCGCCCATGACGTTGGCGGCTCACTGCATAGGCCTAATGTACAATGTCGTCTTGGCCGTCCAAATGCTGCCGGACGATTGTGTCTTGAATGGGGAAAAGGTAGGTTACGCAGTCTTAAACATTTCAATTCAAATATCAATTGTTTAAGTTTCAATATACAATATGGGTTGAATTGTGGAAAAAGGGGAAAAGGAAAATGCTTTGTTATCGTGATCTAAACTCTGTTTTTTCCGTCCACAGCTCACTCCGGCTGCCATCAAGGACTACAATCGTGGTCGCTCCTATCTCATCGACTTGGCCAAGCGTCAGGGTGTGCCCGTCTTCAATGATATACAGGCGGCCCTCGACTGCACTGTTGCCAAAGTGCAGGCCATTAACAATCGCGATCGTTGCTAAATTATTCGTACCTGCTTTCAGTTCCAGCACGTGACAATTTAAGCTAATACTATGTAATTGTTTTATTTAGTGAAATTTATGTTTATATTTTCTAAACTCTGGACCATAAAAACAAATTACCTAAAAGTGTTTAATTAAATTATAATTTAGTCTAAAGTCAATCTATTTACTAATCTATGCTATCTAAAATGTATCCATTAAATTATACTTAAAGCTATTGTCTCTTCTACCTGCTATATGCTATGCGTCCCCCTAAAGCTTATACGTAATTTGTATGCCCCCCATAATTTGTAAGTGTATAAAATTTTATAAAATTGTCGTCGCCCAGAAAGCGCATTTCAAATCGAGCATTACAACTTATGCTAACTTATTATTTATTTAACATATTAGTGCATGTGTTAAATTCAATGTAAATATATCCACAGAGACACATGCGTAAATATGCATAAAATTGTAGCTATATTAACGTTTAGTTAAATATTTATGCAGTCATCAATTGCTGCCAAACATATAAATATTTTATTACATAGAATTATACGCATATTATATACACATAGTGGCCCACAGTACCAGTTTTGGTTGCAAAATATCTCAATAAACAAGATTTTCTAACAAACAAAATAATTGAATTTCTCAAAGCTTCGAAAAATCGGAGCTCTGAATAAATCCAATGTTTTTGAAAGCTCGAAAAATTTAATAGTTTGCTTACAAACATTTCGTTTTAATAGTTTTGGTATCCCATATCGCTATACAAGTTGCAAGAATCGATGAAACGGTTTCCCAAATAAAAATCACTACCCGCTTAATTGAATTTTGTTGTCAACAAAAATGTTGTTGAAAATGTTGAAAGATTTTAAATGGACTATTACAATTTCGACTCACCAGTGCGCTTTTTTTATCTCATCTTTTCATATCACGCATCAAATATATTTTCAGCAATTCTGCATTCAGAAAATTGTTCTTTTATTCAAAAATTATAGCTTCTATTCCACGGTGTATTGGCCACATACAAGTACAAAAGCTGGCTGTTATAGCATACAAACATACGTTGGGGGGCATCAGTTGCTTACCAACACTTCAGCTGCAGCGCTGCCATTTTGCTATACGTATCCAAATTTAGCTTGCGCTGCCTGTCAGGGGAAAATAGAGAGCTCCCATTCCAACAAGCTGGCAGCACTGCCTCGATCAGCCGCCCACCAGAGCGCAATGTGACGTGACAAGTGGCGCGCACGCACACACAAACACTCAGTGAGCACCAGCACTCTCACTCTCCGCGCGATTATACTGTTGTCAGTTTCGCTTTGTTGCTATTTAATGCGATTTTTAAAGATTTTTGCCAATGTAAGAATTAATTGTAAACCTAATATTTGTACCGCACAAGTTTGTTGCATACAACTTGTAGGTATTGGTTTTTAGAACATTCTTTTGTCTCCTTCTTCTATTTGGGGGCAGTGTGGGCTGTGCGCCGCTTTGATTTTCAGTCGCCAAACGTCTGTGGTACGTACGGTTTGCTAGCCCAGTCTATATAGTTGTCTAGTTGGCTGTGTCGGGGCCAAGTATGTGTGTGTGTGTATGCGTGTGAGTGAGTGAGTGCGACGGCGGGTTCAATCAACTGTGTTTTAGTTTTCTAGTCCCGCACATTCTTCGACTAGACTAGCGCCCCACTCCCCCCCATCGTGTGAATGAGCAAAAGTTGAAGTGAATGCATGACAAAGTGTTAATTGTGGCTAATAAAGAAAAAATAACAAATTTGTTCAATCGATGGCATTAATGAATTTCCTATTGGACAGAAAACTTGGAAAATTGTTTGATTTTTGCAAAAACAACTACGTAACATCGCACATTTGTGTAGGTGAGCCAGATTGAGAGCGACCGCGGCAGAGCACCAGAGAGAGTGCAAGGCAGTGATAAGTGAGCAGAGAGCCAAAGTGTCGGCGGCTCTCTTGCATTTTTCAGCTGCGGCTGCGACGGCGACAGAAGCCGTAGTTGAGTTCAAGTGACGTGCTCGTGAAGACAACGGCAAGAAATACAAAATAGCAAATAAACAGAATAAAAAACTTTATTCTGTTTAATTAAAATAAATGAACGTTAACTGAACCAAAATCAGTTTTGTATTTTAATTAAAAGTTGTCTGTCTCGCGAAGAAGAACAAAAGCGCAAAATGCACACAACAACAATAACTGTGCAGCAACAACAACAATAATAATAACAATAACAACAGCAGCAAGCCATACGTAAGCCGCTTAAAGAAACAGTGCAATATAAAGCAACATCAAAAGCAAACATAATAAAACAGACAAGACCAAAATAAGAGAGGGAAATAATAACAATAAAATGTAGCAGTGTACAAGCGTGTAAAATACAATTTCAGTGCCAAATAAGCGTCAGCGGGTTTAATTATAACGAGAGGAAAAGTCAAATATAACTATACATACACGCATACACGTACATACATATAAAGAAATCAACAAGTGTGTGGCGTTTCGTCTGGTCGGTCTACTTCGCTTTCATTCATGCGGTCAGTGCGATTCAGCAACAACAAAAACAACAGCAACACCAACACCAGTAGCGATAATAGCGGCAGGAACAACAAGTAGACACTGATAAAAAAAAGTTCCAACTGTTACAGCAGCAACAACAATAACAAAGGCATTGTCTGCTGCAAAGCTTTTTTGTAAGTTTCCACACTACTTATACATATATTTATAAATAAACATATTGTTCTAACCTTTTTGTTTGTCGATTTATTAAACCTCTCAAGTCAGCTTTCGTAGCTTTAGAAGCTGATCTACACACATACATATATTTATATATAAAAACATACTATATACTATAGTAATAAACTAGCAAACACGTTATCTTCGTGGCTGCGATGATTAAATACGCTTAGAAACTATTTTGAGCTGATTCTGTCAACGACATTATTTATTCGGTACGATCAGCCGTTCAGTTCAGTTATTCCATTTAATTTTAAAGATACATTTTATTTTCTTATTTCTGTATATAAATTACAGAATAAATAAATATGAAATATCTTGAAATCGTAATAAGCCCATCATAGCCCATTATTCAATTGAAGGAAGTCAATTCAACAATTGTTTAGGGAATGAATCAATAGATCGGCATTCAGAAAATAATATAAATATTGATAGTCGAGTAAATAATAAATAAACCTGCTACGAAATGTTTTAGAAAATGTTGGTATTTATTTACCGCTAAGGAAAAATAACATTTAATATTAAAAATTGAAAGCTATGGACAAATCAAGTAATTAATTTAAAGGGAAACTTTTCGTACCAGTAGTCGTATCAGTTTTTAAAATATTTTTAAATTGTTTAATCTTAGTAAATTATTATTTCCGCATTATTTGCGCTGAAGGCACCCATTAGGATCTATTACAAACCTTAGACTAAAGCGTATTACATCGAACAAATCTTTAAACATACTTGCTCATACTATATACATATGTATGTATGTATTTATATTGTCATTGAATGGCGAAGCAGGCGTTGATAGTGTGAATAGATTGATGGCTTTTGTCGCACACGGTCTGTGGTTGCATAATCCTAAAGCTTAGGCGCCTGTAGGGGTCAGGTTAAATAATTCCGAAAGCTGTGTTGAATTATCAATAAATGCATGTGTTAATGTTTGCTAAAAATTGCTCATCAGCCTTGTCATTTGCTTTAACTTCAAACACTAGATCGTTCAGTTGAAAATATTTATAAGTAAAAAATTCAATTCAATTCCATTGGAAAAATTCAACAGTTAAGAATTCCGGTAGTTTTTCAAAGTTCCGCTCGCCTTTCAACAAATCCAAATTCAAAATGTGTACGCGTGATCCAGCTTCCAACCAATTGATTGATTACAAGACCAATGATGCCGAGGTGCAAAAGGAATGCACAGCCTCGACGGGTGTGCCTGTGGGCGTTAAGGATGCCATACAAACGGTGGGACCACGGGGTCCGGCCTTGCTTCAGGATTTCATATTTCTAGACGAAATGGCTCATTTCGATTCGGAGCGTATACCCGAACGTGTGGCCTATGCCAAGGGTGCTGGGGCTTTTGGGTATTTCGAGTGTACCCACGACATTACGAAGTTCTGTGCGGCCACACTTTTCGATCGCATCAGGAAGCGTACGGCCGTTGCGATGCGCTTCTCTGTGGCCTGTGGGGAGAATGGATCGGCGGATACGGTCCGTGAACAGCGTGGCTTTGCAGTCAAGTTCTATACTGAGGATGGCATCTGGGATATAGTGGGCGCCAACATGCCCGTCTCATATGTGCGTGATCCGTCGCTCTTTCCCAGTCTGGTGCATGCACAGAAGCGAAATCCTCAGACCCATTTACGTGATGCCGACATGTTTTGGGACTTTATGACGCTGCGGCCCGAAACTTTGCACGCCCTACTGATGTATTTCAGTGATCGTGGCACCCCAGATGGCTATCGCCACATGCATGGCTATGGAGCGCATACCTATCGCATGGTGAATGCAACTGGCGAGGCGTTTTACGTGAAGTTCCACTTCAAGACCGATCAGGGCATCAAGAACTTGGACACACGACGCTGCGATGAGCTGGTTGCCCACGATCCCGATTATGCCATCCGCGATCTATACAACGCCATCAAGAAAGGCAACTATCCCAGCTGGAGCATGTACATACAGGTTATGCTGGGCGAGGAGGCCAAGAAGTGTCGATTCAATCCGTTCGATGTGACCAAAGTTTGGCCACAAAAGGACTATCCGTTGCTTCCGGTGGGAAAACTCGTGCTCGATCGCAATCCCACCAACTACTTTACCGAGGTCGAGCAACTAGCCTTCAGTCCCGCCCACATGATACCCGGCATTGAAGCGTCGCCGGACAAAATGCTTCAGGGTCGTCTCTTTGCCTATGGAGACGCCCAGCGCTATCGTCTGGGCACCAATTACATGCAAATACCCGTGAACTGCCCTTATCGAGTGCATGTGAAGAATTTCCAGCGCGATGGTCACATGACGGTCAACGATAATCAAAACGGAGCCCCTAATTATTGGCCCAACTCCTTCTGTGGGCCGAAGGAGAGTTCGCGTGCACTGGCCTTGCAAACCTGCTGTCCCATCACCGGCGATGTCTATCGCTATGGCAGCGGCGATACCGAGGATAATTTCAGTCAGGTCACCGATTTCTGGACCTATACACTGGACAATTGTGGGCGCAAGCGCTTGATACGCAATATGTCCGAGCATTTGTGCGAAGCGAGCCAATTCCTGCAGGAGCGGGCCGTAAAGCTGTTCACCATGGTCCACGCCGACTTTGGACGCCTGATGACCGAGGCCTTGAACACGGCCAGAATATCCAAATTCTAATTCAGTTTAATTTCTTGTAGAGCACTGCAATTGCAGCGGCATTGTTTGTGTAGTTTTTGGGAGCTGGTTCTCAAATAAATACCATACACGTGATAGAATAATAGTCCCTTTGCTTGCCTTAATTGATAGATAAAATATAATTTCATGAAATTATATTGAAGTTGGATATTTAGTTTTTGAAAACGTATTCGATCTGAAAAGTTGTCAGTTCTGAGTTGAAATTAGAGAGGTTTTTGAAGTATGAAAAATTTGGCAATAAATTAGTCCATCAGAAGTAATCGATTATTAAAGTCTTAGACTTTACTTAAATTTATATTTTCTAAACTAAAGTGTAGTTTATATCGATAAATATGTGGATATAATATACGAGTAGAGGCTTATTAATTAGAGGCTTAATAATTCCTAAAGACTGATCTGAAAGAGATAAATAATATAAGAGTTGTGTTGGAAAAGGGAAAGATTTTTGTGCATAATATTAAGTGTATTTTCTGACTATATAAAAATGCAAAGTTTTAGCTTGTTATCGAAGAAATAATCTAAATAACAGTGAACTCGTATTGGGAATGAAAACTAAAACAATTCACGAAGTTTTAAGCAGTTGATTTGACACTGCGACCAATTACAAGTATAATAAGTATGTCTGTTTTTCCAACCTGAGGAATAGAACTCTGCCACCTCTTGCTAAGTCAGATATCTTTGATGAACTTAATGACGTGACAAATATGAATACTTCCTTGTACCATATGCTCTTCTTAACTATCATGTACAGAGAATTAGACTTTCTTTCTCTCTTTCTTGAAGGGGCTTTGGCAATAATATGGATGATATTTATAAGAAACAATTCGGTAATTGGCTGTGTGGCTTCTTAAGAGTTTCTTCAATTGACAAAAATACTATATAATACTCTAATTATAGATATAATTTCATTTTCAACATTAAAGCATTATCCAGGAACTAGAGTTTTTCCTCACTCACACTGAATGTAGGACCTAAGTCCCTTTGTGGGTCCTATCTGTTTTACTTCTTGGCATATATTCTGTGTGTAATAATGGTTGAAGCGTTCCCATTTCTCTTCAACATCAGATCACCTTCCTGACCCCTCCGAAACTTTCACTTTCGTTGCACATAAAATCCCCATAACTTCGACACGTTCCGATTGGCGTCGCTCGCGACAGTCACGAGCGTTCAAAGGTGCTCCAAGGCAATCGGTGGGGTCTGCGTCAGTCGTTCGGAGCTTGATAAGGGGACCGGCCAGTGGAGGCCCATGGGGCTTATCGGCTGTTATGGCACTTCAGCGAAAGCAGCAACAACTACAGGGCCGAAATGGCAAAGAAATAATAAACGTTTGATAATAATCACAATTTCTGTTCTAACATTATCAGCTGGCTGCAAATTTTTCTTTTTCTTTTTTTCAACTACAACGCTGAGAATAGAAAAAACAAGTTTTGCCGCTCTGCGTTTTTGTTGGGCTTATCATGCTGGGTGGCCATATAATGTACATACTATACTCGTGTGTAGTACAGCTTTTATCTGACCTGGGCAGTCAATAAAGCAGCCAAAAATATTATTTCGGAGCCTCTTTACACGATTGCCTACGCTGCAGGCATATCATATTGTTGTTTTGGTTTACGAGTGGCTCATAAAATTTGTTTGTTTATCTAAAAGTGTAGAGCAATATTCCTGCATATAGCCAAACACATACTTATAGTATGGCATGCAGTGCAGGTGTGCGGCACATAAACTCCTTAAACACCCCATAAACCATGGGCTTCCTGCACCCAGGGGGCTCTCTTCTGCAATACTCGCCTAAATGGTGGTAATGGTCGGCAATTCAACAATCATTTCACAAACAAGTCGACTGTCAACTACTTATTATATAAATGGACTGCTTATCAATCCCACACTTAATCGTAGTCATTAAAATTGTAATAGATAGTTGTTTTGATTATGAACTGTTGCCATTTGCAAAGTTTTTAAAACTTATCAGATCGTATTGCTTATTGATTATTTTCAGCTAAACTTACCGCAAAGGTATGATCGTGTAATTGAGCTCATGTGAGTGCCTATAATGAAGCATCCACAAGATTTGACTGTAACCCATGGGCAGCAGCTAATGAAAATCAATAAAGTGGAGAAAATGGAGCAGGAACTACACGAGTCAGGTGAGCCTATTATAAATTTCTTCCTTCCAATTTAAACAAACAATTCCAATTTTTTGAAAATAGCTACAGTTGTTGAATTTTAAACTTATTGAACAAATTGTCGGCAGGCATTTGTATTTAAAATTTAACGGAATAAAAACAACAATTTATTAAAAATAGCACAAAAAAAAAACAAGCGAGTTGGAATAGCCATGTCCGTCTGTATGAACGCAAGCATCTCAAAAAGTAATAGACTTATAATAACAAAACTTCAAATTCAGAATCCTCTAAACCTAAGGAAGGTCAAGTTTTTTTTTTGATGCACCCCTGTGGGAATGGGTTAATTGTTATTTGTAGCTCTGATTTTTAAGCCAAGTGTCGCTTTTTCGAAAATGTTCTGACTATGTGAAATTCTGTTTTTAAACTAATCAGTGAGAATAATTGTTGCTCGTTTAAGAGCATTTTCTGAAAGTGTATGTTCTGGAAATTGGTTAATTCCGATTTTTATTATGTGTGCTTTTCATTAATTGGCTCTTTCCTTTAATGGTGTCCTAAAGTGTTTTATCGTAAGATTCATTTTATTAGATACGCCATCGAATTGTGCCCCACTTTGTCATTCAGCTACGATTTATGTGCCCCAAAAGCTCAAATCATTCGGAAATTATACGACTATTATCATAAACTATACTATACTATACTATACTATACTATACTATACAAGTACAATACTATATAGTATAGTTAGAGTCAAAGATCATTTGGCTATTATTGGCGAGTGGCACTCGCCAAAGCGATGCCTAACACGTGCCACGTGCCTGAAAATTCTCAACCAAATTCAAATCATTCGAATAATGCCACATTTCAATGTCAGGTGTACTCGTAGATGTTGTGAAAATTATTAGCTTCGCTTGATAAACCACCTTTCGAATATGACTTGATAACCGTACGATCATTATAAATGTTTATAATTTGTTTTTATTGATTAAGCAAAAACTTGTTGTTTGACATGGCAGATTAAATATATTCGATTAGCCATTTTTATTGTAGCCCCACCCCCACTCTCCTACTGCCCAGCTCACCACTCTCTATAGTATATTGGTTATATAATAGGGAATAGTCAAGGACCTGCCAAGAGAGCTGCTAGAAAAGTCGCGAAAATAACTTGAAAATGAAGCAAAATCGCGCAAAATTAAATGAAATACTTAAAACGTAAACGTAATGTTTAACTTAACCCCGAAGGGTTAAATATGCGCAATAGCAAATATGTGTTGCTAAAATGAAAACGAAAAAAAAACACAAAAAATAAAGAAAAAACAAGAAAACTGAGCAAAGCAAGCAAACTGAAGTGTCGAGTCGGGCCGTGCGCCGGCTGGCGGGCTTTTAATTGTTGAATATTTATAGATGGGCATGTTGACGATCTTGCTGCCTGGCAGACAGGCTGGTTGGTAGGCTGGGCTGGGCTGGACTGGACTGGGCTGGGCTGGGCAGGTGGGGGGCAGTGGTTCTCTAGTGTCACCTTAGCTTATGACATGACGAAAGCGATTTTTAGCTGAAGCGTACTCGTACTTAATTTGATTTGCCAGCTAAGCTAGCGACAGCTCAGCTCGGCTCGGCTCCTTAGCTAAATAAAAACGGCAGAAAAAATTGAAAAGCTTTGCGCACTCAACGTCGTTGCGCATTATGCAAAAAGCAGCAGCAACAACAACAACAACAACAAAATATAAAAAACACAAATAAATAAAAAAGCAAGCCATATAGTTCAGGCAACTGACTGACCGGCTAAACGGCACGACCTGCAGTGGATCACACATACATAGCACTACTTATACTTATACTTATACTTATATATTCACCATATAGACAACGTTTGAGTGACTGACTGACTGACTGACTGACTGACTGCCTGATGGACAGATGGACAAATGGACAGATGGACAATTCCTAGACAGTTCGCGCACTGATATGATATGGAGGTTATCGCCCAGACGCGAACTCAATTGATTTGCGCTTTTTGTATTTATTTGGTTTTGTTTTCTTGTTCTTGTTGTTGTTGTTGTTGTTTAAATATGGAAAATCTCAGCTCTTGAGCTCATTGTCTGTCTATGTCTATGTTTTCATTGGGGTTTCTGGGTTGCTGTACATACGCCCCTCTTTATAATTAAAAAATTGTGGACTATCTAGATAGCCTATTAACAATTGTGGCTATTTATATACAAAAAGTATAAAAGAGTGCTGCTCTTTTTTTTACGATATCCGCCTTAGACATTCATTAATTTCCATAAAGATAATTGAAGCAGTCTTGCGTCATATTTTTGAAATAAACTAGCAAGTGTTGTAGTAACTTGTTGGAGGTCTTTGAAGGGTTCTCATAACCCAACATTGGTGGCCAACATTGCAAAACAGACACAGCCGATAAGGGTATATTGTTAGCTCAGTTATTTGTTGCCATATGCTTTACACATATATGTACATATAAGTAAATATAGTATTTATTTTGAAAGACTCATATTCTTGCAAGCATTTCTTGAACAATAACGAAGAACTTGCAAGCTATTGAAGTCCTCAACTAAAATGCGTAGAAAATATGCACTTAATTGGGAATATCCATATAAAATACGTGAGAGTTAATTATCAATGTTAAACTACATTAAATATTTAATTTAATAATTTAAGGAAAGTTCTTTAAATAAATATGGTTTATAATTTTCTTTTTGTGCAATTTTGTATGATCTGAAATATTAATTTCGTAATGTTTGTTTTTTTCATTATTTTAAAATCTATAGCTAAATATATTTAATATTAATTTCATATTTCTTAGCAACTTAAATACGCTAATTAGAATTAATAGCTAATAGAATTAATACCTATTCATTTTTATTTTTATTGATGAAGCGGGCAATCGGCCAGAATACTACGGTCTTCTATTATGAAAAGAAACCAAAATTACGTATACAGAATAATGTACGGTTGGGTATAAAAAGTTAAAAGCAACTTTAGACATAATGGCTGATGGGGGTTCCACGGTCTCCAAAATTAGGGATTGACTGCCCCTTCGGATTACAGACAGGTCCAGACGCTCCAAAATAAACCCTTACGGCTTATCACTGAATGCTGCACTAAAACCTAAATCTAGAAACCGTGGAAATGAGCGACTTCGATTTTCTGGCCATCAACCATAATGCGAAGCTTGTCTAGCTTTGCTGAATATATACTAGATACGTTCAGAATAGCCTACAGCCTTAAGACTTAAGCACTGGATGCTCTAATTTTTCCATGTTTAGCAGTGATGAATGATTTTTCTTCTTCTATGCACGCATATACCCAAACCGAACCTTAGGGGTTATCAGAGTATCTTAAGCGCTATTAAGCTATTTTATTTTTGAAATCAACTCGCTCTTCCACTCATTTTAATGTCAATTCGCTACTTTCTATACTGCTCTTAATAGAATTCCGTCTTCCTACTCTGTATTTCACAGTCGGACTTACTCGACTTTTACAATTTCTGTACGCTTTTCAATTGTTTTAGTAGAACAATACTAGTTCTCAACAAATTGCATTAAAAGCTTGCATTGTCCATATTTACAAAGTAATTTATTTACTTAATGACTACAATTTGTGTATAGATAGTAAAACCCCTTTAAGTGGAGCAGAACTTTATAGGACTAATCGGTCTAGAGCGTTTTACTATACGCTTTGCTTTCCTATCGCACTTGCTCAGCGGTTTTCGCCGTTGAGTGCCCACTTGGCCAAGTTCTTTGAGCGACTTCCTATACACTTACGGGTTATGCTCAGCCAGACAGCACTCCCCTACACTTACACTTGAGCTAATTTTTCAATTTAGCCATCTTCTTCAATTGCATACCATGCCTGCCTACATACAAAGGAGCTTTGGTTTTCTCATAGCTTTGAGCCAAACACAATGTATCTCACAGATACTCTCACATGTACGTGGAAACCACTCCATAGTGTGGACACATTTCACTTAAAGTTGTCGCCGCTAAATGAAGTGTAAATAGTAAATTGCAGTCAAACCATTATGAACATCATCATCATTATCGTCATTATCTTCGTTATCATGAACAACAGCTGCCCAGCCAGCCACCCAGTCAGTCAGTTAGTCAGTCACACAATAATAATGATCATGACGCTGATGACGAACAACACATGCAAATCACATGGGCCTACATACAACACATATGCAAAGCGACAACAACAACAACAACAACAGAAAGTATGCAAATAAAATAATAATTTTCGCACAAAATTCACTTAACGAAGTGCATTAAAAAAAAAAAGAAACAACAAAAACTGCAAAAAGGCAAAACCGAAGTGAGGAGAAGTGTCTTTCTTTGCACACTCTGGCTTGGCTAATTTTCATAATTCGCTGGAAATGGCTGGCGAGGGCTTCAGGCCACATGTGGGCACCGGGAAAAGCGACAAGCGACACGAACATGACATGCATTTTATTTTCCATTTTTCCTCCTATACTTATTGCACGATACTACTTATTGTATCTTCAGTGTTTTTCGTCACACCCGTATCTACACACAGTATCTCTCTCTCTCTCTCTCTCTCTCTATCTCTCTCTCTCTCTCTCTATCTCTCTCTTTCCCATTCGGTGTGTGTGTGTGTAGGAAGCTCAGATAGCAACCGCACAGTAGCCGCTGATCCGACCCTTTATGAATCACTGATGTGCTTGCGTTTCAAACCAAAACATATGCGTCATGTCGCACTGCATCTTCCATACTCCCCATAATTCTGTAATTGCGATTTTTGCAATCTCCGCTCCATATGGTAAGCGAATGGCCGTGCAAGTCGCTGACAACAGCAGACGATTTGACTCAGAGACTCAGCAACAGCTGTCTCATTAAATGGAATACAAGTTTTCCGGAATAGGCTGTACCCACTATATACTATATGCATAAAAAGAAGCAGAACGTCTGCAATTGCCAATAATAATGCTTATTAAGAACGGTATAGACAGGCTTGCTCTTAAAAGTGACGTTAAATTCGATTGCTGA